CCGCGAAGCAGTGCGCCGCCGTGAGCACCCAGGACGCCGCCACCAGGACGCCGCCGCACAGGGGCTGCCCGCTGAGCTGCAGCCGCACCAGCCAGGGCCAGGCCCCCGGCTGCGCTGCGCTGCCCCCCACGATGCGGCCGTGAGCCCGCGTCACATTGACGGTCCCGGGGCGCCTCTCCCCGCACAGCTCTAGAAAGGTGGGAGCGACGTCAGGAGGGACAAGTCCTGGCGTTCTCACCGTCGAGGCCCCTCCAGGGCCCACCTGCTCTCAGCCCTGCCCCCTCGAAACTTTTTCAGCCTCACCTGGCTCAGGTGGCTCTTGGAGCAGGGGGCCTTGAGGCCTGGGGCGCCCAGGTCCTGCTGAGAAACACACCTTCTGAGCTTCACTGCCACCCTCCCACCGTCCCTCCACCCCAAGCTGTGCTCAGCCCCCTCTCTCCCCTGGTTCCCCTGCTCTTGCCCCACCCCCCCAGCGGTCAGGGTCGGTCTCAGTCTCAGCAGCCATGAACTTCTTACTGTTCACTCAATGAGCCCCACTGTGCCTGTCCTCCTGCCAGGACAATGCTTATGCACAATGCACAGGCTGTGCCCCAAGCCTGGCATGCATGCCCTTTCCACTCAGAGAAACCTTCATAAGCATTGTCCTGGTTGCAGCCCCACCCAGTCTCTGTCTCCAAGGCGGAGTCAAATCTGAAGGCAGGGGATGGGGTGGACAGGAGAAAGGGATCCAGGTAGTGGGTGCAAGCTCACCCGTGCAGGGGGTGGTGTGGTTGGCACAACCTTGGCACTCGTGCAGTCTATGCTGGATCTCCATCGCCACTAGGTTTACCGCCCACTGGGCGCTCCTCTGGGCAGCCTGCAATGCCTTCGTCCCCTGGGCCGACAGAACTGCTGGGACATGGGGCACAGTCATGCATGGCTGGGGAAGAGCTGCAGGCTTGTCCTCCTTGCCCCTGTCCTGGGAGACCCACAGGGAAACGGGCCGGGTTCTAGGGCGCTGGGGTGGAATGGGAGGAGACAGAGCCCCAGGGCCCCAGGGCCCCAGGGTCCAGCACTCAGAGCCAATGGTTCTGGATTCTCAGCCCAGGATGTCTCTGTAATTCAACTGAGCTGGGCTGGAATCCTTGAAAATGGCCCTTCATTAAAAACCTTGAAGGAAAAAGAACACCCTCAAGAGACAGACATCAGAGAGCTCAGACTTATTGATACAGAATGACTGGGGTTGAATTGCCCACCTTTGGGCCCAGAGAGCCCAGGGGATGCTCTGGCCCTGCCCTCCCTGCTAACCTGGGAACTCCCCTAAGGCGCACCCTCGCTGGCTCCCCTCCCTTTCCAGCCTCATCTCCCCTCCTCTCCTGCCCTCCCTCTCCTGCCCTCGCCCCTGGCCCTTCTCCGGGCAGGGTGGGCGGAAGCCAAAGGTCCTTGTGAATGCTGGTGGCAAGCTGATGTCCCTCTGCCTGGACCCCCTTCCTCTCTGCTCCTCCCTCCTTGGCTGCCCCCTCGACCAGCCCGGGCTCACCTTGCAGGGTGCTGGGGGGCAGGCGCATGTACGGTGGGTGCCCGCGGGCAGGCCGTGGGTCTAGGAGGGGCAGCAGCAGCAGCACAGCCAGCAGCATGGCGACCAGGAGCCGGGCACCAACCCTGTCCTATTTCCCCTCGGGTCCGCCGTCCAGGGGCTTGCCCTGTGGTACTTGCACTGAATTCCTGTCCCTCAAACCATCTGGCCCTAGTCTCTTACATCAAAGTCTCCACTGCCCTGGGGCATCCCTCACCTGGCCCTTAGCTGTCGGCGCCCACAGGGGAATAGGGCTTGGGGGACTATATAGAGGACAGACAGACTGGGGGGTACAGGGGAGGGGGCCAGGGTTGAGGGAGGGCACTGGGTAGTCCGCTTGACCCTCACCTTTGAAGTCTCGTCATCGGGCTCTGAGGCCCCCCTTCCGTCAAAGGAGCCCTTGTTTCTGCGGCTCCATCAAAGGGGCCTGGACAGCCGAGAAGAGCTGACGGTTGGGCTGGGGCCAGGCAGAGGGGGGCTGAGGGGCAGGGGCTGGCCCTGTCTCCAGGGCTCAGATCAGGGGTTCCCATCTGCTCAGTTCCCTGAGGAAGTCACAGCTATGCTGGGGGCAGACACTCACGGGGGGAGGAAGGCAGGGGGTGTCTGAGGGTCCCTGTGGAGGTGCCCGAGCTCCCAGCTCCTCTGTCCCTAATGGCTTGGCAGTGCCCTCCACAGCGTGGCCATTTCTAAAGATGATCACAGTGCCCTAATTAGTGCCCTGACCGCCCTCCTGGGGTAGTGGGGTGGGAGAAGGCAGAGGCAGGGGCACTGGAGTGGCCTGGCCAGGAAGGCGGGAGATGAAAGGCCCCATCAGTGGCCCAGTTCGGGGACAGGCCCCGCAGCTCCTGACACTCTCCCAGAGCCCACCCCGTGCAGGGCTGGGCCTGGCCCGCATTGTTCTCAGTGGCTGTGACCCTGATATGGCAGAAAGAGTCTCACGGGAAGGGCCACAGATGGGCAGCTCTCCTGGGACAGAGCCCCCACGTGGGGCAGAGAAGAGGTGCCCTTCTGCCCCACAAAATATCCTGGGGCCAAACAAAGAACCCTATCACCCCAGTTCATGCTGGTGACCTCACAGTGGCTCTGGCAGGCCTGGTGCTTCTCCAGAGTGGATTCTGTCCTGACACCTCCTCTCCAACCCTTGTTCCTCCTGCGCAGGGAAAGGAGCCTCTAACGGGAACCTGGCCACTCTTCGTAAGACAGCCCCAGGCCTGCAGAGGTGATGGGCGAGGTGCGGGTGCAGCAGCCACGAGCAGCTTCCCAGCCTCCGCCTCCCGGGCCTGCGGGCAGCAGACAGCCCACCGCCCAGGGGCGTCCATCACCCTCCAGGGGGCGAAGCGGCTGAGGCCTGAGCGCCCCCATCACCAATAATAAAATAATCTCGTGAACTGTGGATCCAGGCTCGGTCTCAAGAGGTGACCTGCGAAGCGGATGAACTTGACCGGACGCGGAGAGGGCTGCGACAGTCCCAGGAACAGGAAGTGCCAAAGAGCCAGAGAAGGGGGAGCTGGGTTTCGAGCTGAATCACAATCCATGCTGTGAGGCCCCTCATTTTGGGGGGCTGGGGTGGGGTTTTTACCTGAGACAAGTTGGGGCAGAAGGGACAGTAAAGAGAAGCAGCTGGGGGTCTTCTTTCTCCTGGCTGGTTGCAGGCTGTCCTGCGGGGTTCCTGCCCGTCTAAGGGGCACAGTCTCTCACAGTCTAGGTGCGTGGGCAGCTCCAGACCTTCTCCCCCACGGTTAGTGAGACCTGCAGCCCCTGAGTTCTCGGCCTCCCCTCCAGGCCCCAGGCTCCTGCCTGGGAGGGGAGCCACCTTGCCTGCCACATGCTGACCCTTCTGGCCTGGCCCTCCAAGGCCACCACTGCCCCACCTTGACCCCTCCTGCAGGTCGAGGCAAAGTCTCGGCCCCAACCTCCCACTTCAAGAAGAGGGAGGGAAAGGCCGTTGGACATTTTTGCTGATATCTCTGGAAAACCCTGTGAGTGAGCCAGCCCCGCAGCCTCCCCCAGCACAGAGCCCTCTCTCGTACTCAGAGAACCATGGTGGGGGCACCCTGAGCCTCTGGAAATGGGGAGGAGACCCAGGCACTTGTCACCTTGAGGAAGTCTCTACACTTGTCCTCTGGGCGAGGACCTTCCTCTTCCTCCCTCCTCAGAATGCTCCAGGTCACGGCCATGTTCACCCCTCCCTCCATCCCAAATCACCCTGACCTCCGGCCCCACGGGGAGCGTGGGCAAAGGCCAGTGGGAGGGAGACTGACCCGAGGGCTGCCAGGGTGGGCACCCACTGCGGGGCTGGCTCCAGGCTGGGTGTTTTGTTTCTTAGGTTGAACCATATGAATTACCATTCTTTCCATCAAACGATCCGATACACTCAAAAGAGCAGTGAAACAGCTCAATTTAAACATGTCAGTGTTTACAATAGGCCAGAAATTACGTCTTTCTTCCCATTTACACACGATGGAAACCTTTAGATAAGGAGGGCATGTCTGGGCAAAATTCTTTCAAGGTGAGTATGTACAGAATTTTGAATATCACGGTTCGACCTCGTGACTAAAAGGCTGCAAACCAGTGCGCACTTCTGCCTGTCGCTTCTTTCCGCGTGCGTCCTTTGTCTTTCTTTCCGGTGATCTCTCTCCTTCGGTTTTCTTTCCCTTTTCTCAATCTTGCTGTCAGCTGTGTTTCTCTGAAACTTGCTAACTTAACATTCAATGTCTCTCATAATGTTCTAATTTCTCCTCCTACATGATAGATTCTCCCTAATCAATATTTCAGACCTTTCTGTTAACATGAGATGATCTTTTAAGGAAACACTGCCTCTCTGATGAAGAGACATTCACTGGAGTCATGGTTTCCTTCGGTGTTATGTCCTTTAATTTTCTTTTGTTAAAATAAAATTAGATTTAATGAATTATAGTTAAAATATTAAATAAGACCCCCTCTTATAGTACTATTTCTACCCATGCATCTCTCTGAACTTCTATCTCCATCAATGCAAACAAGGTTTCTGGAAATCGTTATTCATTAATCATGGCTCTTTCTGGTAGGGAGATTTATTTTTATGTTGTTTCACTTTTTACTATCTTCTTTGTGCTTTCCCACAAAGAATTCTTTAAAACCAGCAGGTAACACTTGTACAAATGCAAAACCAACCTGAAGATTGTGAAAGAAACATGCAGAGACTCAAGTGGAAACCTTATCAATGATACAAAGCCTGTTGAGGCAATACTTCACCCCCAAAATATTGATGTCAAAAACTGGTGAAATGTAGGCAATTTCATGTGGTTCCATATATTATAAACCTTTATAATAACTGTTTGAGGCAGGTGTTAGCAGACCCATTTTATAGGTCAGGCCACTGAGGCTCAGGGAAGTTGAGTGATATGGCCAAGGCCACATCACTAGAAACTAGAGGAGTGAAAACAATTCTGCCTGTGGCTGAAGGCCAGAGCCTTGACCTCTGCCCAGCCCTGCCTCCTGAGTCCACAGATGCTCTTAGGCTGTGCCCACTTGTGGGGGTTTTTGAGGGCTCGACACAAAGGTCAAACGTTCTTCTTGAAAGAGTGAAGGGTTTGCCTTGCCCTGGAGGAGAATGGCTGTGCCAAGGCAGGAGGGGGCGAGGTGGAGTGGCTGTGATGGCACCTGGGGCTGGAGATGGGGGTCTTCAAATGTCAGACAGAGCAGATGGTGGGAGACCAGGGGCCCGGAGGGGTTGGAGTGAGGAGGAAGAGGAGAACCAGGACCGTGGGTGCCACCAAAGTTTCTTCAGCACCCATGTTGCACCTCAGGTCAGTTCTACTTCCCAAGACCCCTGGGGTCTGGGGGTGATGTGGGATGAGCCTCAGCCACTCTTTCTGAGTCCAGCTGCCAGGCATGGAGTAGAAGGGGGAGTGGACACACACCAGGGACCGCTAGGCAAGACCTCGACACCCTCCACTGGGCGTATCAGACCCCTGCCTAGAGCTCCGGGAGCCAGCAGAGGCCAGGGGCCCGGGCAGGGGGGACCAGAGGCAAGGGAGTGGAGGAAGGAGCCAATATATTCCCTGAGGCAGTTATGGCCATGAGAGGCTTAAACAAGGTGCTTTGCCTGCCTGCAGCCACCCCCTCCCCTACACACGTACACACCACGCACAAGCACAGCCCATTTGCAGGGTAATGGCTTTGCGACAGCAGGAATTATCTGCAGCATTAGAGGCAGCCAGGCTGGGTGGGGAGGGGCAGGCTGGGGGCAGGGGCATAGGCTGGGTCTAGAGGGGACCAAAAGAGGAAGCAGGTGCCCCTGCTAGGACCTGGGCCCCTGGGGATGCTGTAGGGGTGAGAGGCGTGGTCGGGACTGCAAAGGGCTTGGTGAGTGCCAGGGCCAGATGGGCAGGCCCTGCCCTCTGGTGCCCGTAGCCCCTCCTTCCTGCTTCCAGGGCCCAGAGTGGACAGATAACCAGGAGCACTGACTCAGGACCTGAAACCATGGCCTGGCCTCAGGCCCGTATCCTGCCAACAGCCTAGAGGGGGGCCTGGATGACAAAGGGACCAAAGGGAACCCCAGGGAGGGGGATACGTGTTGTGGGTTTGGTGATGGGGGCGGTAGAGTGGGAATTAGTTGGTTATTTCCCTCTGTGACTGCCACAGGAATAAGGGCCGGGTTGCCCAGCAGTGCCAGGGAGGAGGGGGTTTGGGAGGGAGCACCTCCTCTTTCCCCAGATCAGGTCACTGAAAAGAGCCACCACCTGGTGTTCAGAAAAGGCCTCTGAATGCCTGTTTCAGGCTGAGGACCTCCCCTGTCCTCCCTCAGTCAGCTAGCCGTGGTAGGGGCAGCGAAGCCCCAGTAAAGAAAGGGGGCAAACTGGATCTTCCAGGTTGCTGGGGACCCTGAGGTTGAGATGATGTGGGAATGGGGGTGATCCCTGGGATCCCTCGTGTTCCAGCCCAGGGCTCAGCCAGGCCTGGTGCCTGTCGTGGGGGTGCTGGCAAGTCATGCCTGTCAGACTGACAATAAAGCCAGGCTCCGTGACTCCACAGCAGCAGAGCATCCTGCCCACCTGCAGGCACACCCAGATTGCATTC